GAATGTGTGGACCTGGGACGTTTTCGGACTGAAATATCTGGTGCTGGTGACTGGCTCGTGGTGGCCAGCATCTTCGGGTTTCTCACCAGACTCGAAAAACCTTCGATCCACCTTCGATCCACCTTCGATCAAGACAAAGACGTAAAGGTCGACGTTTTTATAGATCGGATCGGAATCAACCCACCCTATCGGGCTCCGGCACCCATGCCCGCGGCGCCCACCCTATCGGTGCTTCTCGCCCGGGGCGAGGCATGTTGGCCACGGTGGGCTTCGTCACCGAGCAGTACTTCCAGTTTCCAGGCTTTACCGGCTCTGAGGCGAGGAGATCGGGGAGAGGCAAGTGAGGTGAGTCTTTTAGGTAAAGTGAGATGGATTTGAAGCGACCAAGAAGTTGCTGGACAAGTCAGGGGGGTCAGGGAAGTGAAAGTCTGTGCTGAAACAGCAGCAGCTCCCTCCAGTCGCCTACTGCTAGCACCAGATGTGCTTTCGGCTCTTCTCTTCCGCACTCGTTTCGTTCAGTTGCTTGGATCATTCGAGCGAAGCGATCCTTCTTTTCAATCACCTCCCCATTCGGTGGACCCGCAGGACGCCCTGCAAGCCATCTATACTGCGCCACCCAACATTACAGGGTTGCTGATCTTCATCTGTGGTTACATCGAGAGCTCCGCCTACAACGGTGACTTAGCAGAAGGAAGATGAGTCATGCATGCGGGTTGGGACCCCTTATTTGTTAATATTGATTCTTAACCCCGATGGGGGTTTACTAATCAAGAGTTTCTCCAGAAACTGTGCATTTTCTTGGTGGAAAACTCTGTGGGTCGCTCCAACACGGACGTCCAAACCCGTTTCCGATGGACGAATCGGTCGCTCGAATCGGTCTCAGTTTCTTCCTTCAGGGTTTTGGTTTCCAAAGTCCAGTGACTGGGAACCCAGTGATCGTTCTTTTCTGTTTGGCGTTCGAAGGTGGAAATTCACATGCGATGATGGGTTGTGAAGAGTATTTGGCTGGAGAATGAAGATCCCAAGCTATTTGCTGTGGTGAAAGGGAGGGGACCAAACAGAGCCGTGGTCACTTCGTCCATCCGATAAGGGGAACCAATCCATGGCAGATATAGTACACCTGTGGAGGGCTGTCCCTGGTGGATAGATACCTCCAAAGCAGCAGTCGGCAGATCGTGCTACTTTCATTGAGTCCAAATCGGATCTCCTAAATCCATCAGACCTTCAAGTCATCCCAAGTGGGGCTCTTCAGAATCAACCCACACCCCACTGCTTTGGATCTTCGACATCTCTTTCAACTTCCGACTTTCTTTGGCAGCGACGGAGCCCCACGCTGCCCCAGAAATGCTGAGACAAACCCTCCTCCCAAGGTAAGCTCACCATGCTGGACATGTTCGAGGGCGACGGCGCAAATCGCGCGCCCGGCGATTTAAACTTCGGGAAGCGCTTCTTGCCGGTTGACAAGGAGAAGGCAGACGATTTGGCCACCAAGGAGACGGGGAGGGGGGACAGGTGATGTTTCGCACAAAGGGGTGATCTGAGGACCTCCTGCATCGGGGTGAAGACTGCATTCCTAAGATGGTTAGATGGTTTTAGCATGTTTGTTGCTTTTTGTAATCTCTATGTCTTCACGTGTACTCTGAAGCGCATGTCCATCTCGACATCCGAGTGTGACCATGGTTGGAGCGCTCTGAGACTGAGGGTGTGTGGACCACTTCTTTACAAGATTGCATGTCTTTGCTGGGTGACCAACGTCCACAGGAGCTTAACAACGGACGTCTTGCCATGCTGGCCTTCTCGGGAATGGTCCATCACAACTTGGCCCCTTGGGAGAACTGGTCGGTTCGGAGCCGACAGAAGTCTCAGCATCGATAGATGGATGTAGATAGATGAACTTGCCAAATAACACACAAGTGACAAGGGACCAACAGACACCTTTTCATGTCTTTTGGTGTTTGGTCAAAAGCCCAAGAACGACCACCTCGGTCCAAGTTGGAAGTCTTAAGTCCAAAGACCTGGCGAGCCCGGACTTCCGCGGCAGAGACCAGACCCTAGTAACAAGAAGCTACGAACGGGGCTCCTGGCCTTACTACTGTACTAGCGTTTGGACGCTAGGGCCTAGGGGCTCCTGGCATTGCTAGTAGGAGCATTCTTTGCTTCGTTCGTAGCAAGAAGCTACTAACATGTTTGGGTTGACGGAGAGCCCCGGCTAAACCCGAGGTCGTGAAGGGTCCGCTCTTCCCGCTCTTCCCCGACAACTGGGCTGGCCCCCAGGGCTCATGGGATTTGGATTCCACCGCAGGGTCCCTGAACCAGGGCTTATATGGCATGTGAGCCAGTTCACTGACACGAAGAACACCACCATGAATACGGTGGTTCTGTCGGAGCTCCGTGCAAGGCAAGTATGGGTTTAGTGGAGAGTTATGCCATCACGGCAGCATTCAGACACTAGATTGTTGCATGGATGTTTTCAATAGGCAGATATCTCCAGAAAGGATTGTAGCTGAGGAAGTTGTGTTGAGACACACCTCTGAGATCACAGAGTCAGGAGAAAGTTCACTGCAGAGCCATGTTAGATTCAGAAGGGGCCATTGAACCCATCAAGTCCACGTGCTGCACGTGTCACAGCTTTTGCCTGAGAGTGGTTGGGGGGCGGAAGAAAAGGTGCCACGCTGACTTCTCCCGTGCGACGGAGTGCACTAGCTACTAGTAGATTCTTGTTGCTAGTAGTAATGCACTTGTTACTAGCAGCGATGCACTTGTTACTAGTAGCTTCTTCTAGCTACTACTAGTAATGCCCTAGCTACTAGTAGCGTCCTTGCTACTAGTAGCCATTCGCTTTGCTCCTAGTAGCGTTCTTGTTCCTCGTAGCAATGCCCTTTGATCCTAGTAGCGTTCTTGTTCCTAGTAGTAAGGCCAGGGGCTGCTAGTAGCGTCCTTGCTATTAGTAGCGATGCCCTGTGCTCCTAGTAGGCGCTCTTGTTCCTAGTAGTAAGGCCGGGAGCTACTAGTAGCGTGCTTGCTACTAGTAGCGATGCCCCGTGCTCCTAGCAGCGCTCTTGTTCCTAGCAGTAAGGCCAGGAGCTACTAGTAGCGTCCTTGCTACTAGCAGCGATGCCCTGTGCTTCTAGTAGGGCTTTTGTTCCTAGTAGTAAGGCCAGGAGCTACTGGTAGCGTCCTGGCTACTAGCAGCGATGCCCTGTGCTTCTAGTAGGGCTCTTGTTCCTAGTAGTAAGGCCAGGAGCTACTAGTAGCGTCCTTG